ATTCTTACTCCAGATTTGTGCTTCCTCGATTCTTACTGCAAATTGGTGCTTTTTTGATTGTTACTCCACACTGATCTTTCCTTGAATCTTATTCCAAATTGGTGCTTGATTCTTACTCCACACTGATGTTTCCTTGATTTTTATTCCAAATTGGTGCTTCCTTGATTCTTACTCCAGATTGGTGTTTCCTCAATCCTTATTCCACATTGGTGCTTCCATGATTCTTACTCCACACTGATGTTTCCTTGAATCTTACTCCACACTGTCTAATTGATTCTTACTCCAAATTGGTCTTTCCTTGATTTTTACTCCAAATTGGTGTTTCTTCGATCCTTATTCCACATTGATGTTTACTTGAATCTTACTCCAAATTGATGTTTTCCTTGAATCTTACTCCAAATTGGTGTTTCCTCGATCCTTATTCCACATTGATGTTTTCCTTGATTCTTACTCCAATTTGATTCTTACTCCAAATTGGTGTTTCCTTGGGTCTTACTCCAAATTTGTGCTTCCTTAACTCTTACTCCACACTGATGGTTCCTTGATTCCTACTCCAAATTGGTGTTTTCCTTGATTCTTACTGCAAATTGATTCTTCTTTGATTGTTACTCCACACTGATGTTTCCTTGATTGTTACTCCAAGTTGGTGTTTCCTCCAATCCAGGAGGGATTTGTGCAGGCCTGAGGCGAAGCTCCACAAACTCGAGCAGAGTTTGGTGCCAGCTCTGCTTTCCACGATGATTTTGCTTTCCATGGGTGTTAAAATCCCCACTAAAGCTGAGGCAGAAGTGGTGGCAGCACCAGGCAAGGCTGGCACTGGGGCAAACTCCCAGTTTTCCATGTGGGAATTTCCATTTTGGCCCGCTCAGCCTCAGGAAAATTGATTTTAGAACATCAACCAGAGGATTAGTGCAAGAAACAATATTTTTTTTAGTGCTTTAAGGAGCTGAATGTTTCTGTTGGCCTTGTCCTCAGCTTTCTAGGAGATAAATCCATAATTTCCTGAGCAGGAGGGTGAGGTGTCCCTGTCCTCAGTTAGTGATGGGTGTCAGGGTGTGCCAATGTTTTGTGAGGAGTGATAATTCCCCCAGGCAGCCCAGCAGTGCTGATTAAAGCTGCCCTGTTGTTATTTATTGCTATAAACCCATTTTTTCTCAGAAAACTGTTCCCCTAAACTCCGAGCCAGGCGTTTCTGCCCCTTTTATCACTGAAGCTGCTGCAGAGTCTGAGCTGGGGTTGGGTTTTGGGGAAGTGAAAATCAGCTGCACTGGGTGAAAGCCACATCTGGAGATGCCACCTGGAGCTTGTTCGAGTCCAATCACCTTGAAAAGAGCTGTGAAACCCTGAGGAAATGCCTGCAAAAAGGCCTAAAAAGCAAAATCTGAGCTGCTGGGCACTTGCAGGGAGATTTTCAGTGGGAGATGTTGCAGTGGGAGCTGCTCCAAAGAGGGAAGTGGGAGGTTGTTTACATCTGCACCAAACCCTTCTCCCCTCCCACCAACTCAGGGCTTTATGAGACATTTGAAAAGACATTTTTAGAAGGCATCTGAAGGTTAAAATGTTGGTTTATTAAGCTGGATGTCTGGGAAGGGGGTACTGGAGGGTGTTGGATCCAGCCTGACCCCACCAGGGTTTGCTGTGGCTGCAGGCTGTGGGAGCAATTCTGGAAAATCCAAATTTCCTCCCTGTGTGGCTCTGGAGTCCCTCCTGTCACAGAGCTCACAATCCCTGCATCAAACCCACCCCACGTCCCAAAAATTCCTCCACTCCCTGCGGATTTGAAACCTTTCCTGCAGCCTGTGCAAGGACACCCAAATCCCAGCTGGAATCTCCCCAGGGAGCAGCTCACCCCTGGTTGTATAATGTGTTTATTGCTGGTGGGGGGGGGAAGTTCAAAATGCCTAAATATTCATTTTAAATGAAAGAAGGAGGAAGCTGCTGCTGTATTGGCTCTCCCAGATGTTGGATTTGGGAGTTGCAGCAGATTCCAGCTGTGCTCCCCTCGGTGTCCCAGACCCCTGAGGGGACACTGGAGCAGCAGGAGGGGTGGCACTGCCCCTGAGTCAGGTTTTAATTGTGGTGGCTTGAGCTGTTCCATGTGACAAACCCAGCTGAGCTGATTACTCCAGGAGCTGCCCGTTAATCCTTTTAGTCCTATCAAGGCTAAATTTATCTGGAGTTTAAATCTAACCTTGAATCTCGCCATAATCCTTGCAGCAGTCTCACGTTGGAGCCCTGGGGGTGGCTCTGGGAGAGAATTCCGTGTGAAAAGAAAAAACTGGGGACACTGAGGCCAAACTGGGACAAACTGGGGACATTAAGGCCAAGTTAGGGACAAACTGGGAACAAACTGGGAATAAACTGGGACAAAGTGGTTACCTTCCCCTCCCCAGGTGTCCAGCAGAGCCGGGTGGCCCTGGTGACCTCCTTGGTGGCCTCGGTGCTGGCCTCGCTGTGGCTGGGCCAAACTGGGACAAACTGGGGATACTGGGACAAACTGGGGACATTGAGGACTCTGGGAATGAGGTGGGGACAAACGGAACACTGAGGAGGAAGGTGAGAAGGACACTGGGACAAACTGGGAACACTGGGACAAACTGGGGACATTGGGAATGTCTTGGGGACAAACTGAGAACAGACTGGGACAAACTGGGGAAAAACTGGGAATGAGGTGGGGACAAACTGGGAACAGACTGGGAGAAACTGGGAATGAGGTGGGGACAAACTGGGGAGGAAGGTGAGGAGGACACTGGGACCAAACTGGGGAGAAACTGGGGAGGAAGGTGAGGAGGACACTGGGGACAAACTGGGACCAAACTGGGACAAACTGGGGAGAAACTGGGAATGAGATGGGGACAAACTGGGAACAGACTGGGACAAACTGGGGAGAAACTGGGAATGAGGTGGGGACAAACTGGGACCAAACTGGGACAAACTGGGGAGGAAGGTGAGGAGGACACTGGGAAAAGACTGGGACAAACTGGGAATGAGGTGGGGACAAACTGGGGAGGAAGGTGAGGAGGACACTGGGGACAAACTGGGACCAAACTGGGAAGGATCCTGGCCAAGGGTTTTATTCCCAATTTTTTGGGCATGATCAGGTGGTGCTGGAGTTGTGGGTTTTGTTCTGAGAATCAGGGAGGTAAGAAAGGGAATTATAAAAGCAAGGGTGTCTGGGAAGTGAATTTCTCAGCTCCATTAAATTGATATCATTCCCTGAAGAGGGAAAAAAGGTAGCAAATAATGGCAGGAAAGGCCAGAAAACTTAATAAAGTCATTTTTAAAGTGAATTCCCTGGAAGAGGTGCTGGAGTTACCTGTTAGAGCTTGGATGGCTGTGTTCTGGAAGGGTCCCTGATTGCATTAGCAGCTCCAAATCCCTCAGGATGCTCCAGGCTTTCCCCAGGAATAGGAATTAAACTGTTAACAGCATCTCAAATACAGCACTGCTTTTTTAGCGCTTCGAAATTACACTTTTCCCCCCTCTTCCCCCTCCCACCTCCCTCTCATTAACTTGAGGCTCTGCTATTTTAGCAAGAAAAGCAGGATAACTCTTCATCATCCAGAAGAACGAGTGGAAGAAGGGCTGGTGGAGGCTGCTTGATCCATAATTCTGTTTATTCCCAGCTTCTCGTGCACTGGGGCACCAGTTTGTGCTGGGAGCTGGAACCCTAGACTGGGAGCAGGGGGTTTAATTTGAAAATATCCCTAAAATATTCAGCAGGATGGAGAGGGGTGGGAATTCCTGTGGATCTCTCTATGCCCTGCTGGGATTCCTGGGTGCACTGAGCTCCTTAATCTTCCCCTTGTGGGTGTTTTTTATATATTTTTTTTTAATCCCTGGCATGATCTTCCATCCACACCTTGGAGCTGTCCTGCATGAAAAGTGGGAATGTCCATCAGAGCTGTGGAAACTGTGGAGTGAACTGAATATTCCTTGGGCTGGGATTGGTTTTTTTTTTTTATCTTGGGATTTTTGCTTGGTCCTGGCTCAGCTGTTTTTTTTTGCCCAGCACTGAGGAGATTTGAAGACGCTAAGTGTTTTTTTTT